ATTTGAAGCAAAGCAAGATCTACAGAATGGTCACCAAACAGCCTAATCGTAATTCACGTGAAGTTTATAGAAAATTTCCGATGATACTCATAAACGGAGTTAAACATAGATCAACGTATTTCCATTCCAAAACATAATGCAGATTCCCAGTTCAGCCACACAATTACTTGCTACACCAGACATTTTACTCTAGCATTTCCTCATTCTTTTCTTTTTTGATATTGAAGAATTGAGGTTGAACAAGCTCCACCCCCAATGGTCCCGGATTTCCTCCCACACACGAGATTATATATTCTATGCATAGAGGAATACGACCATGTATCTGTATCGCTGCTGTACTGCTATCGCTGTCAAGATACATTTGATGTTAAAATCGGAAAAAAATGGAAAGCCTAACAATATTCTACTCCATTTGGTATGCTATGCCTCTATCAAAATAGGGCATGAAGCATAAGTGTTTGATTGATCGTGACATCAAATAATTTCCATGCAATACTTCATAAAAGCCGGCTAAAATATTCTCTAGGCATCATTATATAATACGGTATTGAGAAATGTTTGAAAATGTATTGTAACCATTTCCACGATTCTTTCCTTTCTCCATGTACAGCCAAAATTGTTGTTGGTATGGTGACACAATGCAAAAGTCTTAATAATTCAAATACTGCAGGTTTAGAATTCATTTTAAGTCTTGGAAATGTAGTGTAGATCCTGCTCAAATTTTTCGTTTCATACTGTGTCATATTCACTGACTGTTCGGAAACTGTTATGAAGTTTTGTGCACTAAAGTAACGTACTGTTTAATTGTTGGGTATTGACAGCAGTCGTCAGCCTGAATGCCTTTTTGCGTGTCCGCCAATTTGTAACCCGCTTCAAGGTATAGGCGGAATAATCCTGGTAGAACCAGCGCAAGAAGAGTCATTGAGGAGCTTCCCACCTAAAAAGTGGTATTATACAACCAATCGTTTTAATCTTTTATCTTAAACTTACCAAGTCCAAGAATACACCAAAGTTTGGTAACAATGACGCTGCTATAACAGTGGCAAAGAACAGAACTGTGCGTACAACAAATCGTCCCATGCTGAACTCTGGAAAGGAAAAGGGTTTACTGTAGAATGAGACTAACAGATTCTCCTAAAAAA